GGCAGAATAGTTTTCAAACAAATTAAATTACATTTCGTCTCTATTTCTGGTTATATACTCGACGCCACCGGTCAAAGAGTAGAGTAATACAGGAATGGAACCACCGGTCTAACTTGAAGGCAACAAGATGAATTCATCGCAGTGTTATTTATTCGTGTTTAGGTTCACCTTGTTTTTCCAGGAAACTGTCAACATCATGTGTTCATTAACGTATAACATTCGTGTGTGTATGTTTACATACGACATTAAAGCTGTGATTCCGCGAAAGAACACAAAATTCAAACGGTTCTTCGTGTTGTCATAATATGTACATTCCGTACCCTACTATGATACAGGCACTCGTGAATAACGATACCTCCCATGAACACTACGTTATCTTATTTTTTTATAATTTTCTGTTTTTAATGTTAATTAGCTTTATTTTATTTAATATTAAACTCACCGAAGTTTGCGAAAAAAGATAAACAAAAAAAAATCGAAAGCAAAATCTGCAACTAGCACATAGAAAAATTCGTAAGACCTGCTGGTTTGTTCCGTGGCTCAATTGGCATCTGGCACGGATTGCTTGAGCACAGGTTCGAATGAAATTTTCCTAGTGTTTTGATCTTTGTTATAATAATTGTAACAAACTAGTGGATTTATCGAGTTCTTAGGTTTTCGCGATTGTTACACATAGGAAATGAGACTACCCCATCGTCTCATGGTTACGGTTGACTAAACTAGTGGATCATTCAATAAACTTAAAAAGTCCAAATATAAACAAAAAAAAAACGAATTTTGTGAAATAAAAAACAAATGGACAAAAACAAAATAAAAACAGAGAGCGTAGTTTTCATTAGAGGTGTCGAGTAAGAAGTGCTTTGATCACATGAAAGTCATAAAAATTATACGATTAATTTCGTTCGTAGAATCTGAAAACCTCTTCCCTGAAAAGGGTTCAATGTACTCGATCCCAGGAATTTTCCTCAGAGTTTTTTTTAAGGTGACAGAGCGAACGCCTGTCTACAATCAGTTTAATGCTTAGAGGATGGAAAAAAAATAAAATGCCACAAAAAAAGTAAAAAAAAAGAAAGTAAACACCTAATTGTTGCTTCATTAGAGCAAGTGCGTGCTATAACAGAGTGGTGAGGCAGCACGGTGTTGACATTTTTTAATATTTCACCGGACCAACTACTCTGTAATCAGGTTTTCATTCTTTTCACTTTCAAGTTAGAATTTATCTTTTTGTTTTCTTCTCTGTGTTTGTGTACAGTTCTAACGTAAAGTTTTACTGTTAACTTATCTGTGGAAACTTGTAATTGGCGATCAATATTTGTTTATGTAACTATTTTTTTTATATATATACCTAGCTGATAGTTTCGCTAAAAATGTAAAATAACGCAAACCTTGAGACATGAGTAGACAAGTCCCATGTGCCTGTAATTTCACCAGCACCCTTAAGGTGGCAGTACTTCCCTGGACGACCTCTTTCACAAGGAGGACTTCTCTCTTCTCTCTCTCTTCTTTCTAGACTGCTAATAAAAACTACTAAACACGTCTCTATGGAGAAGTAGTAGGCGGCGAATGCACAGTAAGTACTTGGGAATCGCGCTGTAAAGTTCGTAGTTGGTTTTCTGGGACCCATATAGCGAAAGGGGGTATCCCGTTCCGTACTATCACAATCATAATTATTTTGATAATTAATTTTACGATAAACTGTGAGTACTGGGCATGAACGGGTTAAGCGTAAAAATGTATGTGAGTGGAACTTAACGGATATTGCTTTCTTCCCCGCTCATGAGCATTACCTCTCTTCTGCCCTTGAAAAACCGTAAGTTACGTTTGGAAGTTTTTCCGGAAAAATTCCCGAAATACTGGAAAAAATTGTTAGAATATAATTTCGAATCCTCATATTATGTTCGACGTTAAGAAATATCTTTTGAAATATATGATTTTTTCAAAATGGAAACTTTTCCATGACCGAACATTACGTGTGTTAGAATAAACACATTATTGTGGTGTTATTTACATATACAACATTTCGACTCACCCGTAGAACAAAGATCTATATGCAAGGCTACTTGTTCTCAGGACATAGTACATTTCGTTCGTTCTTCTTCGCTGTGGATATCAGATTGACCCTTGTTCGATTTTATATTTCCGACACGAAATAAGATATATAAATTTTTACCTTTACGTAAGCCTTGGTTTGAATAACGAAATTATTCTCGTAATGTACCTTTTCTCTTTTCGCTATATAATCACATCGGACTTTGTTCTTCGGATGAGTCGATTTGGCAATGAGGATGGGATTATATAAAATATTTATCTACTAACTTCGTTCGTAGAATTTTTACCTCTTTCCTGAAAAGGGTTCAAATAATCGACCCCAGAGATCTTCCTCAGAGTGTTTTAACTTTGAGCTAATGACATAATTGTTACCTACAAAAGTTATTGAGTGATATACATAATATAACTACAGAAACGAATTGCTTAGGTGTATCTACGTCGTATGTAAACCATTGGTAGGTCATCGAAGGCCTATTTGTAAAGTTAAAATGTTTGTTTTTAATGTTTGCATGAAAAATATTTATTCTAAAGGAGTTACCACACTTACTAACATAGAATTGACTTGATTTCGCCAGAAACAGCTTGGCGTCCGTGCAGTGAAAGTGTTCAGAAAAAGACGTTGATCGTTTTTCGCTCGCGTACATATGAATGTAAAGCTTTTTTACTGCGATTCTGAAATCGATTTAATCTACAGCGGAGTAGACAGAAAATATGGATCCACCTCGCTCCAAGGGGCCCGTGGCAGACCCTCCTGACATAATTTGACAAGTCCCATGTGTAATTTCAACAGCTTAAATATATATAATAATTTCATAATTAAGAAACTCTAAACGTAATATATTTAAAGTAAAAATTAATTAATTCAAAACCGTAACTAGAAAAACCCGCCATTCTTAAACCTTGCACTTCATATTTTTTTAATTCGTTACATGACGTTTCGAAATATTGGGTGGCCGTGTAAAAAATAACTACCATTTTAGTAGATTTGAGCAGTTAGTATGGAATAAGATAAGAAATGTATTAATCGATTTTTCCGTTGTGGGTTTTTAAGTATTCTCATTAAAGTTTTGTTAATTACAGAATAACAATCAGCAATGGTATCTTCAAAGACGTCATCAAGTGCTAAAATCCCACGTTTCTATGCAGGAAGGTCAATTTTTATTACAGGTGGCACTGGATTTGTTGGAAAAGTAAGTTTTGAAAGTTGTATAAATATTTACGCTATGCTCTACCCTGTGTGTTTACGGATCTTGAATTTAATTGCAAAGGCCAAATTCTCTTTCGTTATCGAGTGGCGGTAAAACAATGGCTGTTTCACCTACTTTCAAACATTGTTTTTAATAATATTATTTTTGCAATAAACATTTTTAAACATTCCTTTTTAAGCTGGAATTATTGTGTTTTAGGTCCTTATAGAAAGATTACTATCAACATGTCCAGACATCGGCAAATTGTTCTTACTGCTGCGACAAAAAAAAGATGTCGAACCGGAAAAGAGGTTACTACAGATAAAACAATCCCCGGTTTGTATTAAAATAAAAGATCATACTTAAATTTTTGCGAATACTTGGAAATCCTTGTTTCTTTCTATAGGGATAATATACGGGTAAAGTAAAAAAGATAATTAAAGCTTAAATACTAGAAAGTAAAACTAGGATTTTTAAATTATAATAACAATAAATTGTAATGACTTTGTAACATTTTTTGGGTTAAAATTGAGTTAACAAGAGCAGTTTCTAAAGATTTTTTTGTATTCCAGTCAATAAAATAATGTCTAATTTAGCATCAAGATGATGGGAAATAATTTTCACATGTAAAGTTATCTACACAACGAATCCACAGACTAGTGACACAGCCTGGCGGGATGGTGTCGGCGGCCTTGTTTCTAGAATCATGTCATAGAATTAGATTCGAAATAAGGCCAGCGACACCAAGGGCTGTATCGCCGGGTCGGCGAGTTCGTTGTGTGGGTACATTGATCCTACACACCGAACGACCTGTTAATTAAGTTCGTTTGTAAACTTGAACCTGGTCCTTTGACATGACCTACAATTACATTTTTAGATTATGTTAAATTGAACTTAAGTTTAGAGGTCAGCGGATGTCGCACTCGTGGTCTTGAGCCCCTTTTTGAATTGGGAGTAGTAGAGAGTAGAGTCAAGGTCACTCTTTGACGTAGTCAAACAATTTTGTACTCGGTGGTCCTGGTGCTTTTTTCTTGTGGCATTTTAGGATCACGCTCATAGAATTTTTCTTTACGATTGTGCCCAAAGAAGATTAGACTACGTTTGATTCTTTTGAAGAGTTAGATTTTTGTGGACAATTATTGCAAGACATGTAATACGACATGATGCTATGATTTAGCAATGATTAAAGCTTAGAATAATATCGTGTACATTGCTTTATTGATATATCTATTCCAGGTATTCGACGTACTTCGCCAAACCAACCCGTCCCAATTAGAAAAACTAATCATAATCCCTGGCGATATCTCGTTACCGTTATTGGGTATGTCAGTGGAGTCCCTCACTATGCTTCACGAAGTATCTATTGTGTTTCATTCAGCTGCAACCGTTAAGTTCGACGAACAGCTAAAGGTTGCCGTGGACCAGAACGTTCGGCCTGTTATCAGGCTATTGGATATTTGTGATCGGTTGCCTAAGATGGAGGTGAGCATTTTTAAATGACTGCATGGCCCAAACGTTGGTTTGTTTGAAAAAACAAATATACGAGATTTAGATTCCAAAAAAAGGTTCATTTCCTATGTGTAACAATAGCGAAAACCTAATGCTCTGGCCACACAGAGGCGTTTTTGTAATGTACGAGTTCATATTAATAAACTGCCATACTTACGGGGCGGCGTGGTCCGGGAGCGGGGCTTTAGCGGGCTTTGATGTTGTATTTTTTACAACACTTAAGTATGTTTTTGTTTTATCTTAACTGCCTTCGGGACCGAACGGTTACCATTGACTGCCACGCAGAGGTCCCAGGTACGATTCTCAGACCGGGATAAATATTTGTATGGCCTACATTTATTTCTCTCGTGAGTTTGAGTGTAATTTGTGGTTGTCTATATGTGTGTCCCGCATGGTACCCGCGTCACAGGATTTCTCTATTATTATTAAGTTCCAATATGAATTCGACCGACTTTTTTGTGCTGCTTCTGTGATGCAAAAGCAAAAAATTTGTTAAGAGAGAGAGAGAGAGTACAAGTGTTGAAACAATTACTTTGGAAAAAATATATAGTAAAATTGAGCACTGATTTATTATTCGGTATGAAAACACGAATCCTATCAATTTCCACGATAGAAAATAAACACAAACTTACTTCGAAATTTTACAAGAAAACCACTGGATTCAATAGGTACTTTACATATAACAATGACTTTTTTTTATATCAACTGATATAAATAAAAGCGGATTTAGTATAAACTCTTAAGGGTAATGCGTATTTTACTCCATTTGTTTAGGTATTTAAATGTAAACAATCTTGATATGTCTATTTAATGAAATAGGTATATATTTATAAAATATATAATATATATTTTTACTTAGTTACATTCAAATACTTAGCTTCATATGAAATTGCATGCCTATTTTTATTCCTATTGATTTGTAAAGTATATGTTTCAATAAAAAGATGTATCAAGATTGTTTACATTTAGTTAAGTATCTAAACAAATGGACTATATCTCCGGCTATATGCCCAAATCCAGGCGACCATGGATATACTTAGCATTATGTGGATATGATATCGATGACTCTTAGTAAGGATACTGTTAAGATATCGATGCTTTTTATGCACCCTAAGGATATTGCCATTCTTCATCAAATCAAACAATCCTGTAACAAGAAGCCATGTGATAATCGTTTAATGAAAAAGTGGATTATGAATTGTCAATTTCTAGGCATTCATCCACGTATCGACAGCCTACAGTAACTCAGATCACGAGACCATCGAAGAGCGAGTGTACCCGGCGCCTGCGCCAGTACATGAAATCCTTGCATTGGCAGATTCCGCCCCACCACATTTGCTCAATGAGATCATTACCAAGTGAGTCTAACACCTTTGGCCGTGCGAATTTCTTTATATGGCTTTTTGAGACTGTCAATTTGGAAATCATATTATTATAATCTGATTCAGATCTGTGTTAATAAGTAGTTAGTATTTTCAAAATAAATTCTTTGGTACGTACTCAAAGAAGAGGAAATCATCTATAGTTTGTGGCGTTTAGCATGGCAATGGCGGTCATTGACCCAACTTTCATCCCAAACTTAGCACGATCCTGACAAACCTCTCTTGCTTCGCATTCATTAATACTCATACAGACCCTCTCATTGTTCTCACTACGCATTACAGCCTTTTCAAGAACACTCTCAATTTAATTTGAGAATATTCTTCGTGGCTACCCTCGTTCCAAGGTTGCCTCTCACGGTAGTAGCTTTATATATTCGTACCTAAACCATCTCAACATACTCTTGTCTTTTTTTGTCAATACGTCAATCATCATTCACAGATAACAGTATTTTTTACTCGGTCACATAAGCGCACATTACATATTTTTCTGATGAATTTCATTTCTACTGCATTCACTCTACTCTCGGGCTCTTTCTACCATACCCAACACTCTCACACTCATCAATACCCTTAAGAATCTAGCCCAGCTCTATTTGAGCTTCGTTATCCGATCTCCTATGACTTGGACCTTAGTTCGGGTTTCGGAATTCGCAACTCGGTTCGTAAGTTTCATAATTTTTTGCAGTTTTAATTGTGTTATTTTATTGATTTCACAAATTTCTATCCACAGGTACATAAGTCCAAAACCAAATACTTACACGTTCACGAAGTCGATTGCTGAAAATGTGATCATGGAACACGGGAACAGGGGATATTCGATCGCCATATTTAGACCTACTATAAGTAAGTTTAGTCAGGATTGGTTTGCTTTAAAAAGAGCGCATTTAATAGCTTAATAATACTGTTAGCTGCTAACTGGACATTTTACATGTTAAAAATGTAAACATTTTCCGATATATGCAAGCGTCCAATATATTTTTCGAATTGAGATGTTCAACATATAAATGATTTATTGAGTAGATAAATAAAAAAAGTGAAGATGTTTAGATTAAAGTTTTGTTTTTAATTGTTCCAAAGAACAAAAAAATGAAGGCTGAATTGTTCATCCTCAGTAATATCATCCCTGAAATACCCATTTCCTGGCTGGATAGAGAATCTGAACGGCCCTAGCGGTTTAGCAGTCGCCGCTGGCAAGGGCCTGCTACACGTTTTCTCGTGCAAGTTTGATGGGAAAGCTGATCTGTTGCCCGTTGATATCGCTGCGGACACTCTAATTGCAGTGGGGTGGGCAACTGCTGTGTACAGGTACTGTATCAATCCATATACCTCAAATACAAGAGTGTATCATCGCGTAACATCATAATGCGGAAAAAATCGTGGATGAAGCAACCACTTTGTCGCCCTCTGGTAACTAGTGAGAGACTTCGAAAGAAACAGAGCCGCTATCAGATTTTTTATATAACACCAAGTGGCCGGACGAACAAGTTGCATGCGTAGTGGTAAGCGACACGTCTGTCCTTATGGATAACAGTTGCAGTGCCACTAAGAACTTTAACCACCGCCATTGCGCCGTCACTCTGAGACTAAGTTGACAAGTCCCATGTGCCTATAACTTAACCAGCACCCTTTTCTCTCCGAATCACAGCTTGGCGACAGAAATAGGTCAGGTGGCAGTACCTACTTTCCTGACCGGACGTAGGTATGTAGTTATGTATCATAATTCTCAAGTGCGAATTGGGGACTTTGTATAGACGTTTTTCAACTGGTTTGTGAGGCACAGGTTATTTCACAATATGTATTTTAATAATAAGGCCTCTGTGGTCGAACAGTTACCATGCTGGAGAATTATTTGTATGGCCTACATTCATTTCTCTCGTGAGTTTGGGTGTAATTTGTGGTTGTCTACCTATATATATGTCCATGACACCTGCGATACAGGGATTCCCTAGGGCTATGAGTGTGTAAACGTTATGGTTTTTGTTAAACATTTTGGGGCTTAAACGCAAAATTATGAAGTCGTTTCCAAAGGGTAACTCCACCAAGAACAACACGGTGCAAAGTAAACCAATGAGATTAATGAATCTATACTTAATGGAAATAGAGACGCAAGCGTTACCGAATCAAATAACCAAAAAGCTGGAGCCTGTTTGCATTTTAGATTTCCTGAAGTCCGCGTATACAACTGTAGTACAATCGAAAATTCTACAACTTGGAATTCGTTTGAAGCAGCAATACGAGTTTTTTTGCGGTCTCGGCCATTGGACGAAATTTTTTGGTATCCATCCGGATTTATAGTACAAAACGAGTAAGTTGTTAAGTGTCCATTGCTTGAAATATTTCTTACAACTGACTACGTCAAGACTTTATTTATACATTTTTTTTCAGATACTTAGATAAGATTTTGACATTTACTTTACAAACACTCCCGTTTTACGCCATTGAATTTGTCAGCAGATTACTCCGAATACAGACGAAGTAAGTATTTCAAAATACCGTTTTGTTTATATCTTCCCTTGATCACAGAATAAAATCGATAACGACAAATTCAAGGGATGCGTGTAACTGAATAAAACCCCCGTTCTGCATAGAGTTATTTACCGTTTTGAGCTATCTATTTATTTTTGTATAATCTGATAAAATATAATTAAGCCTTGCAACAAAAGTTGTTGTTTGTAGTGTTAGTAATATAGTATTGTGAGGTTGTTAGCAGGTACTTGTAATATGAGTAATTGTTTTATCGATCTACAATAAAACAATTTTACATTTGGTTGTCAAACTTTCCTTTGATTTAAACCGACATTATACAATTGTATATAGCGTCATCTATTTCTCACAATATTAACTCTTTACAATACAATACAATGCCATCTTGTGGTCACAGATGTTACTATTTATTATATGCTAGGGATTACATTAAATTAATTTAGTAATCTACAATGAAACAATTCTACACTAACGCCTCACCATTAACTAACGTACTCGATTAGTAAATAAAAATGTCTTTTCAGGATAGACCTAATAAAAGTAGATCAGAAACTGCGCGGAATGTGTAACGTGCTCAAGTTTTTTTCAATGCGCGAATGGACTTTTGAGACCACCAATTTTAGACTTCTGCGAGAGCAGTTGTCCAAGGCTGATGCGGAGATTTACAACTTGGATCCTCATAGTATTGAGTAAGTTTGTCGTTTTTATTCGCACCGGTGCTAGGGCGGATAACTAGTAGAGAGAGGATAAGCTAGATATCCTCCAATCTATCCACTCGCGTAGGAATAATGAGAACTGGAAATACGCTTCGGCGTCGGGAAGTGAGAGTCCCTACAGCTCCATCACCGGGGAGGAGAGTTGGTAGTTAGTTGAATTTAGAATCAACGCCTTAGCGGTGGCAATTAACTGCCTCCGTGGCCGAACGGTTACCATGCCGGACTGCCACGCAGAGGTCCCAGGTTCGATTTCCGGGCTGGGAGAAATATTTGTATGGCCTACATTTGTTTCTCTCGTGAGTTTGGGTGTAATTTGTGGTTGTCTATGTGTGTGTCCATGGCACCCGCGACACAGGGTTTCCCTAGTGCGGGGCTATGTTGAGTGTGAGCGTTATTATTATTATTATTAATTGTTAGTTGTGCATACAGCTCCGGTATTAATTTGGAAAATAGAGAGGGTACAGTACGTGCACCCGGGGTCACTCACCCAAGGCACTAGCCTTTTGAGCACCGGATGAAGTCCGTGACAACTGTCTGACAAATGACATTTGCTTTAGTCTAGTTGGCAACACTGGCCCAGAGTATACCAGACGTACAAAGGAATGGTACGTCATGCGGGGAGGTTCCTTTCTTGCACACCGAATTATTATAAACATAATATATAATTATACAGAAGACCGAGGAGTATAACCGGTCACTTTGCTTAGCGTTTGTGGACTATGAGAAGGCCTTTGATTCGATCGAGACCTGGGCGGTGCTGCAGTCTCTCCAAAGGTGCCAAATAGACTATAGGCATATAGAGGTGTTAAGGTACTTATACAAAAACGCCACTATGTCAGTCCGAATACAGGATCAGAGCTCTAATCCTATCCAACTGCAACGAGGCGTGAGACAGGGAGATGTGATATCTCCGAAAATGTTCACTGCTCCGTTGGAGGATATTTTCAAGCTTCTGACTGGAAAGAACTTGGCACCAACATCAATGGCGAGTACCTAACACACCTTCGATTTGCCGATGATATAGTTCTTATGGCTGAGACCTTGGGAGACCTGAACACAATGCTCGAAGATCTCAGTAGTGTTTCCCAAAGAGTGGGTCTTAAGATGAACATGGACAAGACGAAGATCACGTCGAATGTCTATGTTGTACCCGCTCCAGTTAAAATTGGGAGCGTTACACTCGACGTTGTTGACCATTACGTAAACCTGGGGCAGACAGTCCAGTTAGGTAAATCCAACTTTGAGAAAGAGATGTCTCGTTGAATCCAGCTCGAATGGGCAGCGTTCGGGAAACTACAAAAAATCTTTGGGTCCAAATTACCTCAATGTCTCAAGAAGAAACGTGGTCCCTCACTATGGGCCTCATAAGAAGGCTCAAGGTCACTCAGCGGGCAATGGAGAGAGCGATGCTCGGTTTTTCCCTACGTGATAGAATCAGAAATTAGCAAATCCGTAGGAGAACTAAGGTAACCGACATAGCTCGAAGAATTGCTGAGCTGAAGTGGCAGTGGGCGGGGCACATAGCTAGGAGAACCGATGGCCGTTGGGGCGGTAAGGTTCTTCAATGGCGACCGCGCACCGGACGATGCTCAGTGGGTAGCCCCCAAAGGTGGGCCGACGATCTGGTGGAGGTCGCGGGAGGCCGATGGATGCGGGCAGCGCAGGACCGATCGTCGTGGAGATCGTTGGGGGAAGCCTATGCCCAGCAGTGGGCGTCGTATGGCTGAATGATGATGATGATGATAATATATAAAAATTGAAAAGAAATTTGAAATAAAAAGATTATATTATACAATAATTTGTGTTTTTTTACAGTTGGCAGCAGCTGTACTACAATTTTTCACTTGGCGTTAGGCGCTATCTGCTTAAGGAGAAAGATCAGGACCTGGAAAAAGCCAAACGCCGTTTGCACAGGTAGAAAAAAAGAAAATGTGTAATATACTATTGTTAGTAAACCGGCGGCGGTGCGGTGTTCATCAAATTATGCGTTAGAACTTTAAGCTTTAAAAACAAATTTGCCTCGCGTCATTTGGTAGATAAAAAAGTAACGGTTTGCATAATAATTCGACTTCGAAAAAGGAGGAGATTCTCAATTTGAATGTAGGTATATTTTCTTGTACGTATGTTACGCGTACCGACGATAATTTGTGAACCTATTTTGATGATTCTTTTTTTTTGTGGGAAAGAGGGTACCTCAATATTCGTCCCATTTAAATGTGAAAAAAATATTCCACACCGAACGGTGGCAAACTAGAGGATGAATCCAGTTTCGCACACTTTCCGATAACCAATTTCAATAAAATTGTAGTAGCAAGTGAATTGCCAGACCGAGGCTAACCGCTCATCTGAGTTACAGAACGACCTGCAAACCTGACAAATTTCTTTATAATTATGCCTGTTGCTATGAGAAATCTATGGAGCTGTTGGAGATACTGGCTATTATAATCTAGTTCCATAAGATTTGAATTGGTTGTCATAGCATTGAGAAACTGTTTACAAAAAAAAATATACATCTATGTCTATGTGATACGTGCCGTGCTTTATTATTTCCTCTTAATCCACGTTAATTTCATCTGGTTATGGGCCCAGAACCCCAGAAATTAACCTAAAATTACGTGCAGACTTTTTTCTTCACTCAGCCAAATATACTTACAGCTACCAGCGGCTGACAAGAGACGTTGCTTTAATGAAATATTTTATCGAATAGTGTAATGTTTTTACTACCATGTTATTTCTTTAAGTGCCTGTGTGGCCGAACGCTTAGCATGCTAACGTAACAGTTGCAGTGTCATTCACATCTTTAAATCGCAAAGATTTTTTGGGCACCGCCACTGCGCCCGCTACCCCGAGACCTAGACATAAGTTGACAAGTCCCATGTGCCTGTACTTTCTTCAGCACCCTTATCCTTCTAAACCGGATCACAGTAATGCTCACATTATTGCTTGGCGGCAGAAGTAGGTAAGATGGCAGTACTTCCCTGGACGAACTCATTCACAAGGAGCTCTACTGCTACTAGACTATTTATTTTAGATTCTTATTCATTGATTCATTCTGATTCATATTATTATAATGTCATTGCTAGGTTATTCATATAACAGGTGACGCAAAAGTAATGCCATAATGGGAATTGGCTACCATTTTGTTAGAAATGAAAGAAAAAGCCCTATTTTCACGAAAAGTTCTAAAAGTTTCAAAGTAAACGGGACCAGACTTCTTCCTTTGGGGCTTTTTGAAATCTCATGTTTACCACAACAAACCTCAAACCTTGCATGTCTTGAAAGCATGAAAGCTAAAATTAACGAAGAAATCACCAATTTTGAGCCAGTTGTTTTGCGAGTAACAACTCTAAATGCCGTAAAAAAGAGCGCAAATGTGCATCAACTCGAGAGCTGCTCATTTGACCGATATAATCATCAAATAAACTTTTTGTGAAATTAGAGCAAATTTTTTCATTTCCAACAAAATGGTAACCAATTCACATTATGACATTATTTTTGCGCCATCTTGAATATTTTTGTGAAAATACTCCATTACTCATTTTTCTTTTTTCTTTGTGTTTTCCATCCTTCTATTAATAATAATTATATTTATTTTCTACTTTCCAGGATGTCCGTACTGCACCATGGCCTGATAATAATTGGTGTACTTTTGTTTCTCCGTTTCCTGCTGAACAAGCCATTGATTCGTCAGTTCACTTTTGAGACAGTCAGGATGCTCATGAATTTGTCCTTTAGCACTTATGAAAAGATCGGTCGGTCTTATAAACAAGTTGTTGTATAAGGCCCTAGCACGTACCTATTAACTATAATTTCATCTAAAATGTTGAATTAATAATAATGCTTAATTTATCTTCTGTACATATTTTTAAATTTTTTATTGTTTATTATTCTAGCTTATTTTTTGAAGATTAAGTTCATGAACAGTACGTAAATAGTGCCGCACACAAAAATATGACTACTTTTCTCGCCGTGCGTCTGATGGTACACGCCTGTCCATGTTGGTTGCAGTGCCATTCAGAGCTTTAAATCGCAAAGATCTGAGGGGCACTGCCCCTGCGCGCGTCACCCTGAGACGTAAGTTGGCAAACTTCTACCCTTCAAAACCGGCACACAGTAATGCTGACTTTACTGCTTGGCGGCAGAAATAGGTAAGGTAGCAGTACTTCCCTGGACGAACTCATTCACAAGGAGCTCTACTGCTGCTTGCCGTAGTGTTGTATTGATTCAATATAAAATTTTCAATGTAAATCAAAAATTTTGTCAGTATGGGGAAGCACTAGCCTATCCGCTTACGCGATGCGCTCATCCTACCGCAAAATGGCGGCTATTTGGTTTCGCAAATTAGAAAAGGATTCAGTTTAAATACAAGTTTTTAAAAATAAAAATTATTATTCTGCATTGCTAAATAAATACCCTCCGTACTACAACAAAACATCTCAAATAAAATGCAGTAATACACCGCAAATCCTGCACTTAAAAAGCAGTAATGAAATTTTTGGTGTACTTGGGTAAATATGATAATATTCCGTTTGAGTGGTTCTAATGTTTACCATGAAATTACTCCTTAAAGTATAGTTTATAAACATTTATATTCAGGGTAAACTTAAAAAAAATGCAACTTACGGTATGTTTTCAATAAATAAACACCGACATCACCAGCCCAAACAATAACACACACGATTGTCGTAACGTATTTTTGAAGTTGTTTATTTTTTTTTAATGACAGACCCAGGCATTAAAAACATTATGGTTTGCTAGAGTAGTTACCGAAATAGCTATTAGTATTAGTTCTTTTACCTGTTATAACTTCGATATCCGATACATCGGTATAAAATCATCACCGGCACCTCTAGGTGTGGTATGCTTCCAGAGACGCATGAATCGCGTGAGCGGATATGGTTGGTTTATGAGATCCATATACATTCACTATTATATTTTGATATTTCATTTTACGGAAAACGAAGTTACTGTCCATGAAACGGTTAAAAAAATATATTAAATGGGCGGGTTAAGTTATTATAGGTCTATTAAAAGTCTCTACTACCTCGGCTCGAATTCTAATTTTTCCCCTTATGTAATACGGTTCATTAAGCTTTGGTCGAGGCTTCATTTCAGAATGAACTTAAAAAAAATTTGGAAAATGTATATCATATAGTATACGTGTTCTATTTAGTTCGTTTGATATAAAATAGAAATCATTGGTATATGTGAGGTGCCTACAAGAAAACACGAACAAGATATTGTACAAGAAAAGCGCTATATTCAATAGCGCTTTTCTTATACAATATCGAGGTAAGTGTGTGTTTTTTTCTGTCGTAAAAATTTTAGGCGCCGTGTCTTCACACCGTATACTAATTAGTGTATGTCCTCAATTTAACTATATATTTTTGCCAAAGAGATTGATTCAAGATTTTCACGGAATGCGGAATGAATCAAATCCATTTGAGGTTGTATAGACTCTTAATTGGAACGTTTTATAAAGTACTTAATATTATTTTCTTAAATGCTTTTTTAGCTGGCTTCACAACAAGCTAAAGGCACGAGAAGCTAATAGATGCCCGGAAACTCATGTAATGTAGATGACCTGCGGGTCACATATATGATATAGAACGGTATTTTGGTATTGGTATTGGTGCAACGGGCTAGTTTCCGCAACTCGACGTCGAGGCGCCTAGAACGGTAACATACGCAATAGTATAGTAGCGTGATCCACGATTTTCTACGGAAACCAGTCTTTTTCATAAGTATTCTAATCAAAACACAAACTTAAAACAGCTATACAAGCTAAGTACAATTTTAAACACGTCCGTGCGTCTTAGACAACCCAATGCCCTAGTATTGTCTAATTTGGATTATTGCGACGTAGTCTACGGGCCATGTCTATTGAAGAAAACGGGGAAGAAGATTCAGCGGGTTCAGAATTCTTGTGTCCGATTTTGCTAAGCAGTCCCTCCACGCTCACATATTACCCCTTTTCTTAGTTCTTTTGGCCTTTTAAATATGTCCAATAGGCGTCGTTTAAAATTGAATTGTCTGATATTTAACCTGAGATATTACGGTGTACCCTTTGAATAATAACACATAGAATGATAGTTTCGTATCAAACGAACTGTCACAAGTGAGGCAAAAATCAAATTCATGTAGGCTAGTTTTAGTAGTAGGTTAATTTTCTGTTTTAGTAAATATTTATACAAAAATATAAGTTGAAACGCGTTACTTCCTTGTGGAATGTGATTTTAGTATCTATTTTATGTTTGTCTGACGTATTTTTACACTCATTTACCGCACATTTCGTCATTTTTAGCTAAAATTCTGGAGCTTTTCGCGGTGCAAGTTGACCTTGAGCACCGAAGGCCCGCCCGCTCGAGTAGGCCCTTTGGGCGCGCTTCAATTTGCCTCACTTAGCGTGTGCGGACTAGGTTTCTATGCGTTAATATTCTAAGGGTGTACCTCAATATTTGGCGAATTAATTGAGCTGGAATGACAGAGAGAAAGATCAGACTCGGACAACGCGCTACCCAGTGTTACAATTTCGCTCATTTCCTCGGTTACACTCCCTCAGGGAAAGCTTTCGGTTTGCTTCGTCTAAATGTTGGAATGACATTCCACCCACGATTAAACTTAGCCAGTCATTGCACACTTTCAAAAGAAAGTGTAAGCAATGGCTACTTAACATACAAAAATCACAATGTTGCTGGACTAAATTTTTATCGTAATTGCACTATAACGTAGCAAATCGTTTCTTTGTTTAAGTTTCTTTATTTTAAGCTTGTATCCGGTATTTAATGTCCTTTTACATGTAATATATATATACTCGTATGCTCATCGAAATAATAAATTCATTTTAAGCGTGTCTTATAAATTTAAAATGTAATTCCTGTGATGATTGTCAGTAGTCAGTAGCGGATGTCCATGTATGAAGGTGGAACCTGAAAAGCAGCAGTAGTGCTGAGGTTCCATCCTTTTCATTGCCACTAGAGTCCACATTTTCACTCTATATTGTTAACCATTTTATTGTAAATGTGCTTATGAATAAATGTCTTATTATTATTTTTATAAAATATTATTTTTGTATGCAGAATTGTTTTCTTTTTTTTTTAGATTTGATTTATTTGTTTAAAAATGATCTGAATTATGTTACATTATTAATAGAAAGATCGAACACAGAAAAAAAATTTCGAACTAGTGGGACTTGAGCCCACGACCATGCTGCACCGTAGCATTGCGCTTACCAACTGAGCCATAGGTCAAGTCAACCGAGCTGTCGAAATTCTCCTGTGTGTTTTTGTTGTATGTATCGTTGTTCGATATTTGTTAATAATCACAACAAAACTGGTGGAATTATTTCACAAAAAAAATCTCAATAATACATTATAGACGCTTAAAAGGCAAAATGGGATAAGCGACATTTTTGGTCGTATTGAGTTATGTATACCGGTGAAATCAGCTAATGTTTCTGATTCCAACGGACGTGCTTGCTCACCTTGGCAGAGCACAACCGTGCCTTTTGCCACTACCTTGCCCCCAAATATTCCTATGTATTCATTAAAAACATGGTAGAAAACATACATTAGTACAAAAATAAAAAATACATTTCCTAGTGGGCCTTTAAATCCTGACATGCATTTTCCTCTCATTACCACGAATAAGTCCTTTTTGCATCGGTTAAGGTGGTCAAGGGTTTTTTATTTTTTATGACATTTATGTACGTTTTTGTATTCATGGCCTGGCCTTTCTCTAAGACGGCATCATTGCAACTGCCTCCGTGGCCGAACGGTTACCATGTCGGACTGCCACGCAGAGGTCCCAGGTTCGATTCCCGGGCCGGGAGAAATATTTGTATGGCCTACAATTATTTCTCTCGTGAGTTTGGGTGTAATTTGTGGTTGTCTATATGTGTGTCCATGGCACCCGCGACACAGGGTTTCCCTAGTGCGGGGCTATGTTGAGTGTGTGCGTTATTCTATTCTTATTCTATTCTTCATTATTTGTGAAAAAATAACTGTTTAGATCGATTGAATCGTCCTGTCAGCAATACTCATTAATCGATTCACACACGTTCGTCGGTTAAGGTAGAAAATGTATGGTAGAAAATCTTGACCAAAATGGCAACCCAAGAAATTCCATTCGAGAAAAAAAAGCAAATAAACGTCATACGTAATTTTTCATTGTTAAATGTCTCACTTATCAAATAAAAATGTTTAACAAAGTGCTACAACGTGCATTTAACTTCCGTTTAAAGAAGACTTATCCTACAAACATATACGATATTTCACGTGGATCGGCCTTGACAGTGAAAAGACCGTACAGTGACGAAGTACGTAAAGCCCAAGCTCAAAGTATCGCCTCACCCGGACCTACGATCTTCGACAAGATAATATCTAAAGAAATCAAGGCAGATATTATCTATGAAGATGAGTTATGCTTAGCATTCAACGACGTTTCACCGCAGGCTCCTGTACATTTTCTAGTTATACCCAAGAGACGAATTGCAAGATTGCAGGATGCAGAAGTGGATGACAAGGAGGTATGTTATTTTGAAATTTTTGGCGGGAAAAGAAAAATTTTTGAGCAGAGTTCAATCAATGCTTTTAAACTGGGCAAAGAGAACAAAATGCTAGGTATTTACCGCCGTATTTTGTGAGTTGATTTGGGCCTTAAATTGTTAAACTGGGCATTGCCAGCTATAGAGAAAACATTTATTCTGCTTATTATGACTTGTAACAGTAGAGCTCCTTCAGAAACAGTTTGTCCAGGGTACTGCCTTACCTAGTTGGTACTTGGTGCAAAGGGCTGGTGTCAAGGCAAAGCGCCTATTTTGCGTGTGGTGGGTGCAGGGTCCTACTCGTGCCACACAAGCTCCTCCAGGAATCTCAGCAACCTCCTCGGTTTGCTGAAGATTTTGGGGAGCAACCTCGGCACTCCAAGGTACTTCGCCCTGTAGTTGGCCACGCCGGAGCACTGTAGTAGGATGTGCGCGGCCGTTTCCTCCTGTCCGTGATACCTAAATTGAAAAGGTGTTTATTGTATGGACCATGCTCTGTTAGGGTGGCAGTTAAAGTGTGAAGCTCTTGCCTCTTAAGTTTGATTAATTTTCGAGATAGACTGGTGTTGAGCGTCAGGAGTACTTCCCTCGCCTGTCTACAAACCGTAAGGGTTGTCCATGTGTTATTATGAAAAGATTTTGTACCTTTGTGTATAGTTGTTCTTGATCATTGGTTGAGTAGGGAAACTATGGGTTCTAGTCCTATGGTGTCCGTCTCTAACCCTTTTTTGGCTAGTTCATCTGCTGCGTCATTGCCACGTGAGCCGCTGTGTCCTTTAATCCACTGTAGAGTTCAAGAAGAAGAAGTTGGAGAGCCACCCTACCTGTTTTTGCCGCCAAGCAGTTATGTGAGCATTACTGCATTCCAGTTTTAAAGCGTAATAAGAGTACTGGTAAAATTACAGGCACATGGGACTTGTCAACTTATGTGTCAGGGTGCCAGTTGCAGTAGCAATGACCCTAAAATCTTTGCGATGCAAAGCTCTGAGTGGCAAAGCAACTGCTGTGGATAGGATAATAATAATAAGTAAGCGAAGTTCTTAGTATGTTTCAAGATATAGTAGCAGTAGAGCTCCTTGTTGAAGAGTTTCTCAAGGAAAGTACTGCCATCTTGCATATTTTTGCCGCTAAGCGGTAATGCAAGCATTACTGCATTCCCATATTGAAGGTAAGGGTGCTGGTGAAATTACAGGCACATAGGATGTGTCAACTTGTCTTAGGGTGACGAGCTTAGTCCCTATCAAACTTTTGCAATTTAAAGTTGTGTATGGCAATTGCTAAATAAATTTTAAAAACAAAATAAAGGGCAGGCATGTTGTTTAAAACACACGCCTTGTTCATTCCGTTACTTAAAATTATAAAAAAGGATTGGTTCTATACATTTGGTTTTGAAAAGATGCAATAGTGCTGAAACCAGTTTCAGTATTCCCAGGAATATCCTTCCAGACTGTCTAACTATACTTCGTTTCAATCCATTTTGAACAAAAGGAAAAAAAACAAGTCACTGACCTGACCATGATGGTTTAGTGATGGCCAATTGTAACGCCAACTACACATCGATTAAATAATTGAATGAATCGATTTGTTCAATTGAGTCATACTAGCGATTTTCCTTACATAAACTATATAAGTATATTTAAAATTTCAATTCAAATCCTTAGACTCAGATACTCATTTGATTGCGATTGAAATGTTTGATGTAATAATCCATTACTAAACTTTAATTGATTGAACCAAATGTTTTTTTTTTAACAGCACTATGCAACCATAGTCAAGTCATAGAAGTATAGATGAATAATAACCTCACTTTTGGACTACCATTTGTCAAATATGATTTTACGATGCTATTCAAATGAATATTGTTGGAAAAAGTGATCATATATCAAGCCGAAATATTCGTGAAAGTGTTACTTATTTGATTTATTGAGTGATTGCTTTAGGATTTTAACCAAACAGGTTTGTATACTTTTTGTTCAAAATGGATTGGAACAGACTGAGATATTACTGCTGTGAAGTGAATGATGATTGATTCACCTCTCCTAGCCTGTAAAAAGATATCCTATAAAAACTTTACAGTAGACGTTACATGGTTACCAGATCAACTCAGTATATGCTACTAAAATACACCAACTGCAGTTTTGGTATTCCGCTTATGGATCACTGTTACTGAAGTCAGCAACAGCAACAGGTGATCCATAACTGGCATGGTTATGGATCACTCTGTTGCTGACTTCAGCAACAGTGATCCATAATTGGAATGTGCTAACGAAAAATGTTGTTTATGCTTATTTGTAAGTCAATGTTTATGTTGTTTTTGTTAAAAATAAGCTTGGCAACTGAAAAAAACTAAGTCAATTAAAACCAAAGTCTATCAATTTCAATACATGGACATAAGAATGCAAGCTGCTCATTTATAATGCAATAAATACATCAGTCTAATAATAATAATATCACAGTATTACTGACCTACAAGAATCGGGTCATTTAAATTGCTTATCTCTAAAAAACTTTATTTCAAAATGAACACTCCTTCTCGACATAATCTAAAGATGTCATGACAAACATAATTATCAGACATGACTAATATTGTATGGAATTTATTAACGATAACAGCTTGAAACAGAAAATTATCAACACCAATTTTCTGTGTTTTGTCTTATGAAAACTAATTAACTAACTCACTGAGCATGTGACATCCTGAACCAACACACCGGAAGTTGCAGAGGGGGGCATTTATTGAAGAGCCAAGCTGTGTATCAAAAATTTTAGTAATGATTTCAAGTGTGATTTTTCTTGCCAGTAATAAGTTTTATTTTTAACACCCGAGGTAAAAAAGAGAGGAGTTCTAAGTTCGAAGCTCCCATTCGGATGAACTGATATCAAAGCGGTTTTTTTTTATTTGAAATTGAATGTTCTTTCGTTTCTGTTATGCTTGCCGTGACCATACGTCTCTCGTGTCCCGCTGTCCCCAAAATACTTATTAATGTCCCGCTTTGACAAAACAGGGCACATGTGACTTTTTTTTTAATGGCGGTAAAGCGAAAAATATATAGAGCTATTCCACCTACCCATAGATAACTCCCTTAAGGTCCATTTGTCTTTTTTTATAATATGAATAACTTTTGCACCATAAATATTTCTACTGCTCATTTGTAAGGCAGATTCCCCCGAAAATAATGAGCAAGAAACTCTAGGGGTTGCTCTTTGTAAATATAGATTTGAATACATTTATCATTATAATATTTAATTTAAACATCTTAGATCGAGAATACCTGAAAAAGCTAAACGGGACGCTACCAAGGATTTTTGTCATCCAAGTACGCAGAAGTTGTATATTAAACCTTTAGTATATCAAGGTTATGGCGTGGAAACCTATAAGGTTCCCCAGAATAGATCTATATGTGTTATGGAAAGTGCACTCGGTTAGGAAACTGTTTGTCTTGGGTGCTATTTTACGTAAACATCTAAGATTACCATATGATCCAAATCTACACAGGGATAATCGAAGAACAGACAGAGTATGTGAAATTGCGAGGTATAGAACATTATAGATTTACAAACACAATCACAAACACACGCACGCACTCTCACACACTATCACACACTCTCACACACTCTCACACACTCCCACACACTCTCACACGTAACGAAATTGTTCTCCGTTTTGCTTTTCAATTTATTAATAACTAGGTAGTGTTCAGCCATAGTGTACTTCGGGGTACTCGATTACCTGACGTTAAGCGATGATGTGACCGAAGATGGTGGGCGTTTGTCTAAAACAAAAAAGAACTGTGGCATTGAATCAGTTACATAACACTGGAGCCTGTTGCGAATCGGACGTAGTGCGTAAACGCCCTTATACCATTACTTCTTTTACATTATAGTTTAAGAGCGACCTTGACTTGTGTTCTTGGACTGTCGCAGAAATCTATGAGCTCGCACGACGCATCGCAACAATTTGCAAATTGCTCCGCATTGCGCTTGTTAATCTTGTTTTTTTTCCTATACTTTCTTCAATAACAGCAGTGCAACCATTGACTTACAAATAAATGGACGACGGGTCTAATACAAAAACCACGAAAAAAATGTCCCAAGTCAACCTATTCGAAATTTAAATTGTAATGTCATCGCAGTATCGCCCTGTCAGTAGAACAAATGAAGACTAAAGCGGAGTTTGGCGCTCTGTATACGATTTTAGCGCCTTACAAGTGCGGACACTTTTTAGCGCGGACCCGACGTCCATATAATTGTAAGTCAATGAGTGCAACACTCTTTTTACGATCCACGTCGCCTACCTAGTTAAAAAAATACAGTCCACGATCGTCGAAGGAATGGTAACCCGAACCTTGGCAGTGAGATTGCCTTGCCGCAAGAAATCGCATTGCAGCCATTGTCGTCACAGTCTTATGCGTTGCGAATTCGCATTCGGGCCTATTCGCAGTTACTAGGTTTTGTTATGGAGCAGCCATGAACAAGTCGTGCGACTGATGGTAAGCTAGACGTCTATCCATGCCAGTTGCATTGCCACTCAGAGCTTTTAATCGCAAAGGTCTGAGGGGCGCTGCCAATGCGCCCGTCACCCTGAGACATAAGTTGACAAGTTCCATGTGCCTGTAATTTCACCAGCACCCTTACCCTTCCCAACCGCGACACAGTGATGCTGACATTGCTGCTTGATGATAGAAATACGTAAGGTGGCAGTACTACCATGGATGAGCTCTTTTACAAAGGAGCTACTGCTATTAAACGACTCTATCTGACTTTGGACAATTATTCCAAAAAGTGCTGCAAATATGTTATCGGCTGTGAGACATCGCGGTCTGGAGTACCTCGTCCGACATTCCGTCACAAAGAGCTATGTAGTAATTAAACCGTTATCTTATCTATTTTAACATTCCACAAGTTTCAGGCAAATGTTTGTATAGATATTTTTAGTCACATGGCTTGTGAAACGTGAGATTTTGGTTGTTTAATTCAAAATTTAAAGATTCTTGTTTTATCTATTGCTGCTGTTTGCAAGTAGCAGTAGAGCTCCTTGTGAACGAGTTCGTCCAGGGAAGTACTCCCGCTTTACCTGTTTCTGCCGCCAACTAGTATTGTGAGCATTACTGCGTTCTGGCTTTGAACGCTAAGGGTGCTGGTGAAATTACAAGCAAATGGGACTTGTTAACTTATGTCTCAGATAAAAAAAACCGACCTCAAAAGGTTGTGGAATTACATGTATTTGCCAAGTTTTATTGTAATCGGTTACCGGAGAGTGCGCGAAACCGCATTCATCCCCTAGTTTGCCACTCTTAGAGGCGGAATATTTTTTTCAAATTTAAATGGGACCAATACTGATGTAACCTCTTTCCAACAAAAAAGAACCATCAAAATAGGTTCACAAATACCTAATCGCGTAACATACACAAAAAAACTCCTCCTTCTTTGAAGTCGGTTAATAAGAAAGAAGAATATTATATGTACAGGGTCAAGAGCACGTCGAGCTTAACACTTAAGACTTAAATCAAACTCTATGCCGCTTACGGTAAGAACGGTCCAAAGTACAAAGTGTTAGGCTTGACGTGCTCTTGATTGTACAAAGAAAAATATATATGACTTCGGCGTACTTGGATGACAAAAATCCATCGCAGTGACCGTCTTGTCTTGATCTATCATATTTGAAATTAACGTTATAAACATTGACTTACAATTATATGGACGTCGGGTCCGCGCTAAAAAGTGTCCGAACTTATAGGGCGTTAAAATCGTATACAGAGCGTCATTCACGCTTTAGTCTTCGTTTGTTCGACTGACAGCGAAGCAAGCAAAATTAGACAGTACTGCGATGACATTACAATTTAAATTCAACGTTTTAGCTTTTTCATATTCTTTTACATGTCACTACGTTTAAATAGGTTGACTTGGGACATTTTTTCGTGGTTTTTGTATTAGACCCGTCGTCCATTTATTTGTAAGTCAATGGTTATAAATGATAAATGTATACAAATGTCTACTTATAAATGATTAGTAGAGTTTTATCAATGTAACGATTTCAAGTGTTATTTTCTCTCCTATGATTTGAATCATAGAAACGACGATGTAACCGGCGATAATAAATAAATTTGGATTTTCTATCTATTTACAGCTCCTAGGCCACCTAATGCTCGTGGCGCGTTCACTAGGCTCTCAGAAGGCGCCTTCAGGCTGGCGATTGGTCGTCAACAACGGGAGGGATGGTGCTCAATCGGTGTACCATTTGCATTTGCACGTCCTTGGTGGACGACAGATGGGTTGGCCACCGGGTTAACTGGAAACAAAAAGGGGAATACGCGTCGTAGGACGTGCGATGTGATAGTCGCTGGAGAACATAGACTTGGAGAGTATATACTAGCATAGTAGACGAACTGACACCTGGAAATTACTATTTATGGATTTTGAGCAGGGTTTACAGTCACGACAGAATTATACCTTAATAATTATATAATTAACAACAATATGCTTCCGCTAGCAATGCAAACACATAGTTTGCGTTAGACACATATACAAACGTAAAAATGTCGATCTCAAAAAAGTTGCAAGCCAAACCTGGAAAAACTTCCAAAGATTTCTCTTCGTTTTTATTTAGTTTTTTAGCTGTTTGTAATTTTTAGTCAAAAACGAAAGAGACAAAACTATAAATCAGTATGGATAATTCTTGTATATAATTAAATCGGATAATTATCAAAGAAATTAAGTATCTTGTTAATTTGGGTGCCTGATTTTTAGTTTGTCCACAACATATCCGCGGCTTGTATTTTAATAATGAGACGCAATTCAATGACGTAAAAGAATGGTGGTCGTAAAATAGTGTGTTTGTTGATCTTTCCTCGAAATTTCATGACAATACTTGAAAAACTAATGTCTGAATGGGCTGTGATAACAGGGTGCAACGGCAGACCTATATATATGACGGAATTATAAGATATGACGTATATAATAAAGAAATATACCGAATAAAGGTATCAAAAACCAATAGGCGGTTCTTTACATAGGAGATCAACATGATATTACACGTCGCTCTTATCTGCGTGCGAGCAGTAAGTTGAAGGAGTATTTTTGCGATATTTTTTAAAATTTCATTAATCGAAGTAAAACTAATTAATCTAAGTCAATTTCATAAGTCTGTCGTCGACAAATGAAATTAATGAAATTAAAAATATAATTTTAATACACTAATTCTTTTACGTATTTCTATAAAGCAAAAGGACGTTACAATATCGTCATTCGTCTATTAAGTTAGGTGGTATAAGATGTTTAATAATTGTAGAGTAGGAAAGTAAATCTAATATGCTTGTAGTTTGATACAGTGTATCTGTATCAAGCTACAATTATGACAGTGGCCAAGGGTAGAATTTGAAAAGGTAAACCGATGTCGAAGTTACTGCTATTTTTTTTTTATGAAACCAAGCGGCGGGTCGAAGAAGTCTTCCGCCAGGTGGTAAGCGACACACCTGTTAGTAACAGTTGCAATGTCATGCAGTGACTCACATTACTGCTTAAGTAAGTTGCAGAAGTAGGTAAGGGGTAGTATTTACCTGGACGAATTCTTTAACCTAATGCTGTTAAGTTATAGAACAAATTCCTCTGGCAATCCGACGGGAATTGCATTTTATAGGCCCTTCGCTACTGGTATCTAAAGTTACTTATGATCTGTATTTAGGGAAATAAACTTATCTACTCTGTCTATGTGGGAAAGCCATTCTTTAGGAAACGTCTCCATGTTGACTTCATCAAAGACCGCGGAAGAAGATCCAAGTAGTATTCCGGCGACTATCTTGTTGCATGACCTTGAATAAGCCGTGAAAGGTGATAAAGCAATGGAATTGAAAATCGCAAATTTAAAGAGACTGATAAACTGTTTTTGCAAAAAGCAAAAGCAGACGTTATCCTTTAAGGCTAGGGACCAATCTAGCGGATATTATGCAGCTTAATTAAGCTCCCGCAATCCCGCTCAATCGTGGCAAGTCAAAGTCCTAGTTATTCGTTGTTATTGGTCACGATTTGACATAAATTGTGTGAGAGCGATGAGCTTTGTCCTGGATTACGCAGTCAATGAGTGTTTTTCAATTATTTTTTGAAATTTCATTAATAAGGTGCCACAAAGTAATGAAATGTTTTTCTATAATTAATGAAATTGAAGAACGCTACTAAGCTGTTTAATTTCCGCAGAATGTGTCCTTGTATTAATTAAAAAATTCTGTGATACTTACGTAGCTTTTGCGTAGGTATATTTTAGGATTTTTGCTATGAGCAGTAAGTGCCCAGCGGTGGGACTTGTATTCGCGCAGTATAGTAACAATCCAGTGACGATAACGACTGTTTGTCAAACACGAGGTTACATAGTTCGGTCACCAGTGCAGTTGTCACGTTATTACAGATACCGTGCCTGTGAAAACGGTCTACGACACGTAAAAGATATATGAAATACGAAATGTTTTCCCTTTACGTTTGACAAAGAATTGAATGCCACCGTGTTACCGTATTGGGGACTTTAAGAATAAAAAAAGGTGTCATACAGAACTAATGCCATTTTAATTTAGAAATTAGTGCAATAACTCAGCCAAATTAGTTGTAAGAGTCAAAGGTCTATTCTGTAGCTGTTGTATAATTTTCAAAACTAAATTTTAGTTTGCGTGGTTTAATTGACAGCAGAATCAACTTGCGAATTAAAATGTTATGCCTTTGAATTATAAGCTGGTTGGACTGAAATGTCTTGTGGAATTGCCACCAGCAATTCATCTTGAAGGAAAATGAAAATGTAACTACAATACCACAGTTTGAAGCCGTCTTATGTCTACACAATTGTTGGTTGAGTTTTTTTTACATCCAAACTCACAGCTTTGTTACAAAGATCGTACACTAAAAAAATCCTTTGATCCTATTGGAATTTAACCGGGGCCATCAACTGAAATACAGACTCTTTTCGCCGTCAGCGCACCTGTGAGAAGCACTTAATATTATGAAGTTACTCAACCTTTGCAGTTACCAGAAGCTGACAAGAGATGTCGCTGTATTAAGTGCAATTTTCTTTGTTTTTTATCTTTGTATCAATAATGAAAACAAAGTGGTGGAGTATTTTCACAAATGAAAATGAGTATGATAATAAAAAGTAGTAAAGAATTGTAATTAATAAAAAGCTAAATTCGTTACGTGCACAAATAATGAACATCAGTGAATCTATCTCAGTTGAGTAACAATTGACTAGATTTTTGTAAATAATTATTTAATTCCATTCTAGATATAATTATTTTAAAATCTCAGAGTGAAATATGTTATCAGAATTCTCAAAAAAAAAATCTGATTGTGCTAGTTTTTATTTGTGTTTGTATAGTTTTTTCAATTAGTCACGTTAAATACCAAATCACAATAACATACCAAAAAAATCTAGTCAAGAGAGACTGCGACCGCCATTTCAAACTTAACGTCTGTGATTATTTGAGTTTAATATCGGGACTTAATCGTGTATTTTTATTTATTTCGACGTTTCGGACTTGTTGCAAACGGAATTTGCAACGTTCGAGACTAAGGATGAAAAAATATATATTTATTTTTACACGTTTGACTCCCGATATTAAATTCAAACAATGCTTGAACATTTTGATTAATTAACGTCTACAATGTTGGAAATACAGTAGATTTACGTAAATAGTGAAAGTTTTCGGGACAGTGCAAATCAAACTGTGGTGTTTATTATTATTGTTATTTGCTTAGTTGTAGTTCGTCTTACAATTATAAAAATTGGTGATCACATATCCTGTAGTGTGTAGTGCGTTTTTTTGATATCCAGAATCTCATCGAGAACTTTTTGTTTTTAATATACCTAGTTATTACAAATGTTGCAAAATAAATAAATACACTAGACAATCTAATTCTCTGATGTCATATTAGGGAATTCCCGTAAATGTTACCATGTACAGCTCTATATATAAATTAATATTTTTTTCCTCCTGAATACGAGAGACAGATGCACAAGAACTTAAATTTAGTTTGCGTTTGCTCGAATTGATTGACGCTATTGATGTTAAAAGAAATTCCATTGTTGCCATTGAATGAGAATTTCGATCAAATGTGTTTTAATGAGATTCTTGGTTCGTAGATGATAGTTTTATTGGTTGCGGGTAGGATGCCATGAGTTGTTCGATTGTTTTTGTTTAAAAAAACAAATAGAACGCCCTAGCATCAATTTTTAACGTTTAGAGTTTAATTTTGTGTTAAATTCTGTAACTAAAGCTGTTTTTTTAAAAAATTAAAAGAATTTATTAGACATTTTATTTATTGTTTTATTACGACTTCTTTCGAGTTGATATATCGACAATAATGCCGTCGACAACGACAATCTAATCGAGTGATGGGTACGTTGGTACGTATCGAGTCGAAAATTATCAAGGTCTTCGGAAAATATTGCAACTCATGTTTTGCTTTATCTGTCTGGATTTTATATTTTCTTGAGGTATTTTTTATTTCTAATGGGGCTGACATGTTTGAGAATGAAAAAAAAACATCGCCGTGGTCTCGGAAATGGACCTTAGAGGATGGAAAAAAAATAAAGGAAGTTGCTCTGTGGCCGTCTTAGACTATGGAACCATAAGGAGACCGTGGCCGTTTGTAATTTTTTGACATTAATCGAATGTTCGTATCCGTTGACTTACAAATAAACCCAATACCCGCGCTAATCACAAATTATTTAAGAAACTTAGTAAACCTAACTTTCTTGAATAATTTGTGATTGTACAATGTATTTATACAATGACTGTGAGTTTAGACGCTTTAGCTCATCAACATTATAATTGAATATATCAACTTCCAGGTCATGATTGCTCATCACACTATCCAAGCTCTTGCTAGCTCTATATAGAAAACTACATAGGGAACTGCAATAGAATGACAGTGTTTCATAGAATCGTGTCGAATACTTGTCCACTTTTGTCAAGTTGATAATAATAAACCTACAACAACAAATATTCGAGTGGCGGGGATGACGATGTTGTATTCGACGTCGTCATGGACGTTTTATAATTTTTTTTTCACATAAATCGCATTTTCGCACCGAATACTCTCTCGTCGAGTTGATATATTGATTAATGAATTAACTGCTTCAATGGCTGAACGGTTATCACGGCCCATTGAGTATATAACCAGAAATAGAGACGAAATAAGGGCCATATATTCCTGCTAACACATTAGCGATACAGCTCTTATAAATATCAACTGACGTTTGCACTGAAATTTAGACAGGCCAACTACTGACCTGTGTGTACGTCTCCGTATATTCCAAAAAATATTCTGTATTTATTGTAATAAAGAAAATCTCTGTAACAATGCCGTGCTATTCCATTCGGTGGTGTGGGGAAAAATAGCAAAGCATCTAATTACGAAAGAAACGGAATCACATTTCATCGGTAATTAAATATTAAATATGTAGTTTTGCAATTGTCGTCCATTATAGCAAAGCTCAAGTTAAATGGTCGATTTAAAGTGAAACAGTTGACGACACCCGTCAATTGTTTCGAACTCGGACTAGCCAATCGGAGCGCAGTTGTCACAGTAATGATATGGCAGAATAGTTTTCAAACAAATTAAATGACATTTCGTCTCTATTTCTGGTTATACACTCGATGCCACGGCCCCAGGTGCAATTCTTTTTTTTTTATGTAATGAAGGAGGCAACGAGCAGACGGGCCACTTGATAGGTGGTGGTCATCGTCGCCCATGGACATTTGCAACATCAGATGAGCTGCCAACGCGTTGCCAGCCTTTGAGAGCCCTGCAAACACGCTTTTTGAAGAACTCCATGTCATAGCGCAAAGGAAATACTACAGGAGGAAGATCATTCCACATCTTGCAGGTTCGAGGAAGAAACGAACGAGACGCCCGCGTGGTCTTACAATGCCAGGCATCTAAGATGTGCGGATGGACTTTACTCCTTTGGCGGGAGGTGCGATGGTAGAACCGAGACGGTGACACCAGTTCGAAAAGTTCCTCAGAGCACTCCCCGTTATAAAGACAGTAGAACACACACGGAGAGCCAACGTCTCTCCGTAGACTAAGGGGCTCCATACATGGCGGGTGCCATGGATGTGTCCTAGATTGACAACTACAAATTACACACACTCATGAGAGAAATAAATATAGGCCATACAAATATTTCTCCCGGCCCGGGAATCGAACCTGGGACCTCGGCCTGGCAGTCCGGCCGGCCGGTATTAACGGCCACGGAAGCAGTTGCTAAAAGAAATCCGTTACATCCGTCTAGTCAATGGTGAAATTACATTTCATATACGTGATTAACTACGTAAGACATCGACACCATCACGTCGATAACTTTCCGTCTCTAGCATATTCATGAGAATCGATTTTTTTATAGGCCTATTTTGTGTATGGACATGACATGAATGTGTGGTTCATCTGTGTATTTGTAAAAATAAGCTAGTGTTGTCGACTTTTGTTTGTGTGAGACCAGAGAGAGAACTCAATATTGCATTTGAGTACACCTGTTTGATTGTAATATTACCCCCGCCCCTCTATGTAGTGGTAGAAAGTTTTGTTCGAGAAATATTGCTAATAGCGCCTCCTGTCGTCGTCGTGAATAGCGTCTGCCGATCCTAGAAATAATCTTGACGAAAAAGGAATAGCAGGGAGTAAAAATAAAAAAGAATAATAAAAGTCAGAGACAATTTTTATTTAAGCAACAAATTTTGTAAATGTTCAACATTTAGAAACAAACTGTGGCTGGAATGCAAGTTTTTGGCGGTGCATGCGCTGGAGGTGGCATGCAAGTTAAGGGCAGAGGTGCGGCTGACAACATAAGAGGCGCAGCGGCAAGAGGTGCTGCGGGTAGAGGTGCCGCTGGCAGGGTTATGGGTGCACAAGGAGGCGGTAATGGAAGAGGAGTAGCGGGAACCGTGATAGGGGCGCATGGAGCTGGCATAGGAGGATGGGCATAATGAGGTGGTACAGGAATAGCGGGAACCGTGATAGGGGCGCAAGGAGAGTGGTGAGGTAGATGTGCAGCAGGTAAAACAACAGGCGCCGCAGGCATACTGCAAGGGTCAGACAAAAGAGGCGCCGCAGCAGCCAATGCAGAAGTCAGCACGGGAGGCAATGCTGAGTTTAGAAGAGACGGGAGAGAGGCAGATATAGAGGCTGCGAGTGTAGGGGCGAGGGCAGGAGCGAGAGCGGCGAGTGTGGTGCTACATAACGGGGGAGCCGCGTGTGGTGGGTGGTGGGCCGGGTCTGGTATGCAGTAGGACAGAGCGTGCTGTAAAAGTAAAAAAATATTGATTAAGTGCGCGTTCCCATTATGTCGTGACGACATCTATATACTAAATCTATGGTGACGACAGATAGTCGCTCAGTTTGAAGAGTCTGGCTTGTAATTTTAAATGAAGTTGTTCACATATAGTAACAACACGATTTTGATGTTACGACGAGAGACTGTCGAGTCAATGGGAAGAGCTAGAACGACAGCCGTCTGACGAAAAATAAAATGTCACGATAAAAATGTGACTACAGATAATCGTAGCTTCAAACAATTCTGTAGTGCAAACGACAAGGTGGCTGCCGTGAACCGATAAATTGTCGTCACGATCTAGTGGGAACAGTTAGACACAACAGTCGTTCAACGATAAAATAAACGTCTACGACACAGTCACGACATATAGTTGTGATATGAGAACAGTCTAGACGCGACTGTCGTCCAACGATAAATAAGACGTTATGACATAATGGGAACGCGCCCTTAGTGTTTTGTAATTGTAACTTAGGAAATACATCTCTAAAAACAAACTTCTTTCTTACCTGAACGAAAAGAGCACAAACTAAAACACACTTCATGATGTTGTTTTCAGTTCTTGGGAAACTACTGACCTACAGACTTACAGACCGTATTAATATAGTCCATTATCAGTTATTGCAGTTCAATTTCAAATTATTAACCAGTATAAGTTGTGCCCTGACATAGTTAAACATCGGTTTTTTTTTCACAGCTACATACATTTTTTTTTCAGTTTTAAATCATGGTGTAATAATTCATGAAAGTATTTCAGGGAGATAAAAGCGTAAAAGTCAAATTGATCAAAAATAAAATTGGTATTCGTCAAAATGCTGGTTTACAACTATGATAATCATAGGTATATAACCATAACTATAACCAAGAATATAAACGTTATATAATTTATTGTAGTTACTTTTGCGCCGCCATTTTTGAATTTGTAAGTTTCCTCTATTGTAAAGTAAATAAAAGTAATTAATTTTCGTACAAAATATTCTCACTAAATAAAACCTTCCCGGGAGGATCTCATTCACAAGGAGCTCTTAGGGCTACTAAAATTAAATTATAAAACATTTATTTACGGCATCAAGTCCGCCATTTGTATTGTACGATAAAGTATAAACAAGGAAATAAATTTATTATTTGCAATATTTATTTCAATGTGTTATAGGTTTCTATACAAATAAGATAGCATTGTATAACAGTGCGCCGTATATAGGCTCAGGTTATAATGGTTATACGTAATGATAGTTATGTCATAATTAGAAATAGTGAAATTGTGGTTGTACGTGACTTTTTAGTAAATACGAGTAAAATAAATTTCTCAAGACATGCCGTCTGCAATATTTAGTGTACAATATTATGTTATTTGTTTCTTGTAGCAGTTACATTTATTATAGTACTTTATTCATTTTGGGAAAATTCTCGGTTTAATAGGTGAAAGGTTGCTTCACTGAGTTACGTATGTTTTTGAGATTTTGTAGCAAAAATCTTTGGTGGCGTGGGTTAAGCTTCGCTGGTCCGAAGTGACGGGTGGTTCGGCTGGGGATTTTTTATATATAATATAAAAATCTAGCCTATTCTGTGTGTATTCTGTCCATAATAGTTGCAGTGCTACTCAGAGCTTAAAATTTAAAGAGCACTGCTGCTACTGTGACATATAATTGACAAGTCACATGTGTCTCTAATTTCACTAACACCCTTCAAAACCGGAACGCAGTGGCGGCAGAAACAGGTAAGGTGGTACAGGTCCCTGCACGAACTCCCAGGGAGCTACTAAGGTGAGCACAGAGAACGGGCAGTGGCTTAAAAAATGACGTTTTCAAGAGTACAAATTTTACATGGAATGAATTATTTATTTGATTTTGATTATTATGTCGGAACACCTCATTCATCAAAATATGGTAACCTATCACAAACTCGAATTTCTTTTGCCCGAAATGACGTTTGTTCGAATTTTCATTACACCGAAAAACGAATTACGTGGGGCGCACTATAAGTTTCCGGAATGAATAAGAAAAATACTATAAATGGTCAGAAATGAATTTATTGTTTCTCAAAATATTCTCCGTTGACGTTAATATACTTTTTCATACGTATGAACCAATTTTAAAACATTTATGCCACTCCTCCGTGACAATCTCTGAAATACATTATCCTTATACTCTTCGACAGCCTCTTCGTTCGAAAATCGTTGACCGCGTAACTGGTTCTTAATTTTTGGAAATAAATAAATGTCATAAGGGGGAAGGTCGGGACTGTACGCGGGATGGCTCATTAGGTCAACGTTGTTCACCTTCAAAAATTCATTTGTTTGTCTGACCGTGTGAGAACTGGCATTATCGTGGTGTAAGGTGATACGGCGTTTACGGTTATTTTTATGGAGTTTGTCAATAACTTCCGGCAAACAAATGGTCGTGTACCAATCACTGTTCACGGTGTAACGATTCTCCAAAGCAACAGTAGCCACGTGTAGCCAGTTTTATTAAAAAAAGATGCAATCATCCGCTTAGCGGCACTTTGCACGCGGCCACTTTGTTTGGTTTCGACCCATCTCGAAAGACCCATACGCTCGATTGCTGCTTTGTTTTGGGATCGTAACTATAAATCCATGTTTCGTCACCTGTTATTATGTCCCACACCAAATTTGACGCCCCTTAGTCGAATCTGGTAAGCATGGCATTTTGCATCAAGTGACGCGATCCGTTTTTTGAGCCTCAGTCAAAGTGTGGGATCCACCGAGAGCACAGCTTTTTCACACCCAAATGTTTGTGTAGTATTGATTGTATTTAACTCATGCCTATGCCTAAAGATGCCCGAATGGTATGTCACAAGCCTGCCTGTTTTGATCATACGGCGCACAGCATCGATGCTTTTTTTGTATACAGCAGTGGACGGGCGACCATCACGAAATTCGTCACTGAGATTCACACGACCGCGTTTGACCAGCTATAAGTAATCGTCTTGCATGGTGTTTCGTCGCCAAAAGCCGAGCTCCGCTGAACTGTTCAATTAAAGAAAATCATATTACGAAAATTTTCACGTATTCATTCCATAGTGACGTAGACAACCAATTTCTAAAATGACGCCACAATGTAAAAACAAGTGACAGTCAGATGAAACAAACTGTATTCCACAGCCAAAGAGTTGCATTTTCAAATGTTGTAATTACTTTTTAAATATTGTTTATGCAAGTGGCCAGTTCCGGAAAGTTATTGTGCGCCCTATATATTAAGACAAAACAATTTTGTTTTGTCTTAATATATAATTTGAATATTTATTCAGCACAGTATATTTAGATTTTAATTAATGCAGGACGTGCTCGGTTCCACAAATGATCGTTCGCGTGTAATCTCGTCTGTCGGCTTGTGATAACAGCTGACGCGTGTATATGTGTGTTCGATGTACATTTAAGTTTTGTCATTTCAAACATCTCGTTTACCTGTAAATTTAAGAAAAAAATATAATGTTTATGTGAAAGAAAGTTTAGTAATAACATTTCAAAATAGATTTCGTAAAAAATACGAAAAAAAATTGTTGACTTTAACTGATAATATGTTTATAATTATCAAAGTCAAATAATCTTTATTTCATAAGTAAGCAAATTACACTTAAAACTCTACTGGTCATTCGTAAGGCAGATTCCCCTGTGAAGAATGAGCAAGAAACTCTAGGGGTTGCTCTTTGTAAATATAAGTAAGTACATTTGAATACATTTAGCATTACAGTATTTTTTAAATATATTTTTAGAATATTTTGAGAAACAGTAAATTCATTTCTGACCATTTACAGTAGGTGTTTTTTTCTTATTCATTCCGGAAACTTATAGTGCGCCCCACGGACAATGTGTAATACATATAATTAGACAAAAGAACCGAATGCGACTTATAGCATCGATCGATCGATTTTCAATAGAAGGGCTTGTGGCGGCACGCGGGGAGGTGGTATTCAAAGATACTTCAATGAGAGCTCATGTATTTGCAGTTGGTCACGTAAACTTACGTTTGGCGATAGGTAGT